TTTCCCCCATCATCACAAGCACTCCAACATTGTAGGGTATCATAAAACAGACAACAACATAATGTTTTCATATAAATCTTAAATATTATTCACTAGACGTCATCATCATCTGCAAAATATACTGGTTCTTTCATAACAAATATCAGTAATACTTGTCCAACCATCAACTTATTGACCATCAATCTAGCCACCTGAGTGAACATAATTACACAATGCATCAACAATACTACATGCAGAATTAATGCTTACTATAATTCTGAACTTATAATGCATATCTTCACAAAATTTGGGAAGCTTTTAGTAAATGTGAAAAGTCTGTTGTACACAAATAATCAGAATTTTTAATAGTCTTTTTTTCAAAAATTTGTCTTTTAATTTACTGAGTCACTCTGACTCACATTCTGACTAGTCTGGGTTCGTGGTGATTTTTATGCTAAGAATAAAAATACTCTCTTTTTTATCCTATTTAGATTTCATATTTAATTTGCATAACCTCTAGAACTTCCTAAATGAATAATCAAAAGTTTTTTTTGGTAAATCCTTATATTTTATCTGCTCTTTTATCTACCCTAACACTAACCATAGGAAAATCATCAATCATGATCATTTTAAAATGAAATGAAAAGTTGAAGATTATGAAATAAAATGAATAATTCTTCTTCTTTTGATGCATAAATTCATCTTGTTTCATGCAGTTATTATCTCCAAAATTTTGACTGGCAACCTTTTCACATATATTTTTTTGTAAATTTATGTTTTTATTATTGTACTTAGTACTTACTTGAACACAAAGCCTCCCATCCAAAACAATCAACTTGAATGATGCAAATGCCATCCCTACTATCATGTTTGCATTGTTTTTGAAGGACTGATATTAGCCATCCCTACTATCTTTATTTGTTTGCTTGTTTTTTTAATACAGTGTTTCAATAGACATAGGAAGGTTGTATTTATAACCAAATTCTAAATACAATGAGGTTCCAACTGTAATATTGATCATTTATCTATTACTGGCTGGTAATTTCTGTTTCACACTGTACTAAGCTTTCTAAAGGAACACCAAATTTCTATAAAAAAAAAGCTAACTTCAAGGGATACTTATAATTTTGTTTGCACTAGAATTAGGATTTTTTTTGAATTATTACTAGTTAATAATACTTATAAAAGTGGATACTCTGTTTGAAACTATGTCACCTCAGTAAACTTGGTTGATACAACTGTTTTGGTTTTTGAGTTATCATGAATTAATAAAAAAGAGGAAAGAAGAACAAGAAATTCAAACTTTTTGCTATGATATTTACAGACATTCCCACAACTTGCAACTCAGCCATTACATAAATAGTTATAAAAGGAAACACTGTATATTATTGTAAAGTTCTGATGACTTATTGAGAAGATATTTAAAATACCATTCTGATGAACAATCAGAGCCATCCCTACATAGGCAGTGCTTCCACCTGCCTGATAGCTAGCTAGGTTTTATATATATATATATTGATCCCTACTTGTCTTTATAATTGTTTGTTTCCTTTTTATTATGTATTTTTTTGTGCACTAACAATACCGAGCGTGGGGCACGCGTGTACACTAGTGTCCTTCTCGGAATAAGAAAGGAATAATTTTTTCTGTACACTTGTCTAGGAAAGTCACTTCTTACTTACTTAAGATGAAAATTCATAGAAATACTGAAATTTTAATTCACTCCATAAACATGTATATAGTGATTGTATATAGTACAATGAGCTTTAGTTTTGCTCAGACAATACTGTGAACTAGTCATTGTTAATATTCAGACATTTTAAAAGTGGTTTTTAACAGGAATTTTTATGGTCACCATTTTCTTTCTTCAGGATCCCTTCTATTAAGTACTACTGTACTTAATGATAATGGTATAAAGAACACATAAAATGAGCAATTCAGAGTGCAGACTCATTACATGATACAAAGAAGTGTAGATTTAAACTTTGATAATATAAAACTCTAAATTATAAACTATGTTTTAATAGTAAGTTTATTTACATACATTGATAATAAAGCTGTTTAAATAATTTTTGAAGCTAACTGTTTAAAAGTAGTGACCTTCACACTCTGACCCTCCTGTACTCATAGGGTTAGAAAAGTGCACTTTTTTCATTGTACTTAAAAATATTTAAAAGAAAAAGCAACAAAGTAGAGTATTACGAGAACTTTCTAATCATTAAAATAAGATTTATTGTAATAAATCACGATACTGAAGAAAACAAAACCCTAATTTTACTACCACTGTGACTGGTCACCATGATTTGAGTTTCCCCTTAATTATTATTTTATTTGCAGTTCTTTCATTCAAGGAATATTTGAAGGTGTCCTAAAGCATCTGCATGCAAGTCTAACTGTACAGAAACTCTGGCTGTTTTTACTAGATACTGTGTAATATCTTTGACAGAAATTACAATTTAAATAATAAAATCTTTAGAGAATTAGTAAAAAAAAATATTTTTCCTATATATTTACTTATTTTTTTTAACCACTAGAGTATTGGTTACTGCTTAGTAAAGATAGGCTGAAAATGTACAACTAGTAATAAAATTGTAAAATTTTGTTTTGATTTAATTATTTATAACAACTGTGACCTCTAAATATTACTGTTGGCATAATTGGAACCAATTATTGATATCTGTTTTTGGAACCCTTCACTATGGTAGGGTCCTAACTTGAAGAAAAATATTAAAATGATTTTTAGAAAGATTACTGCCATATTTTTCCATTGTTTAGTCTAAACTTGCTGATTAGATGTATTCGTTAGAAATTTATCCAAATAAGAGATACTTAAATCAACTTGATTTGAATTAGTACTTTATTTATAGTATTTCTGGTGTAATACAGATCAGCTGTTGTTTAGAAAAAAATGAGTGTATTTAATTTGGAATCAAAATATAAACTATTTTGTTCAAGTAATAATCACATTTCAATTTACTTTGTATAACAGACTCTTCTGCAAATGTTTTAGGTGTTATGAGTAGTTTGATATTAAAAATTACAGAAATGTAGCAATCTCCTTCATTACACCTTTCAGAACATGTCCTTGAAAAATGTTAAAAATTACAGAAATGTAGCAATCTCCTTCATTACACCTTTCAGAACATGTCCTTGAAAAATGTTAAAAATTACAGAAATGTAGCAATCTCCTTCATTACACTT